AAGCCACTTTGTATACATTGAATAACAATAACAATAACAAGGTTTACCAAATTATTACCACCAAGCTAGGTTTACCAAATTATTGCCATCGCACATGTAGTTGGCTGACTAGGAACAAAATAACAGCTAGTATAATTTTCAATCAAAATAGATGATCAAAATAAAAAAAAAAATAGAGGAATGCGAATGAGACGGCAAGAGAGAAGTTTAGTACCTCCTTGGCAAATTGAAGCTGTCCTTTAGAGTTCCTCAGTACTTAGACTAAATTAGCATTTATTAAAGAATACAGAGCATAAGTGGTGGAAATAATGAAGAAACCCTAACAAATAGAGAAAAAATACAACATATATAGAAATTACCTGTGAATCAAATGCTGCGGATGTATCTGAGAGAGAGACCGTGAGAGACAGAGAGAATCGCTGATGTCCAATCGTGTGTGAGAGAGATGGAGATAGAGAGAGCACGAGTGCAAGAGAGAGAGATAACTTAGCGAGAGAGAGAGAGGGAGAAAGAGAGAGACGACTGAGGGAGAGAAATAGAGAGACGACCGAACGAGAGAGAGGGAGGAATGACTGAGAGCGAGAGAGAGCGAGAGAGGAATGATTCAGACTAAGAGAGAGAGAAAAGGAGAGAGAGAGCGAGAGAGGGATGATTCAGACCGAGAGAGAGAGAGAGAGAGAGAGAGGGGCGGGAGAGGCGTGAATATTTTCAGCGGGAGAGGCGTCAATTGTAGCGGCAGTCGTTTGGACTCTAGTGGCAGTTTTAATCGACTGCCGCTACAAATCCGTCTTTGTAGCGGCAGTTGTTTGGATTCTAGCGGCAGTTTTAATCGACTGCCGCTACAAATCCATCTTTCCAGCGGCAGTCGCCAAACAACCGGGTCGAAAACTGCCGCTAGAACTCTATTTTCTTGTAGTCATGTTGGATGAGATGAATTCTATGGTTAAGAATCACGCTTGGACCTTGTAAAGTGCCTAAAGGAGCAACGACAATTGGTTGTAAATAGATTCCAAAAGAGACTCAATCAGGATAGGGTGTTTATTACCAAAACTAAAAATGTTTTCTCTAGTTTCTAGAAAAGATTCATTTTGAATAATCATGGCTTTAGTTGCTTTTTTGATTTGGAGATATATCAAATTCTCACAATAAGGATTGAAGCCACATAATTTCAGTTGTGAGATTAGCAAGGGATCAAAATTCAGCTTCAATTCTAGATTGAGTAATAGTAGGCTGCTTACAGTAGGAGATCAAATTCTTAAGATGAGGGAAAATCCACTAGTGAAGTGCTTGTCATCTGGGCAGCCAACCCAGTTAGCATTAAAATAGCCATTGATACAAAAGGATGAACTAGGAGAAAATTTAAAGACAAAGTTAATAGAGCCTTTAAGATACCATAATATCTCTTTACTAAATTCCAATGAAGATTGGTCGGGGCTTGTAGAAATTGGCATACCTTGTTACAAAGGTAATGTCAAGCTGGGTAATAGTAGCATATTGGAGAGAGCCAACCACACTTTTGTTTACTGAAGGATCATCTAAGAGAGCACTATTAGTCTTGGAGATCTGAAAATTTGCAAGAAGAGCAGAGTTTGGCTTAGAACCATCAAGACCAGACTTGAGAAGAAGATCCAAGATATACTTCTTTTATGAAAGCTGAAGAGCGTGGGCGGTATTGTGAGTTTCAATACCTAAGAAGACATGATGTCACCAAGGTCCTTAACAACAAAATGATGAAACAACTGATGTAATAAAGAATCAATGGTATCCATCTTATTACTTGTAACCAGAATGTCATCAACATAAACTAAAAGAAAAATGAGAAGACCATCATAATTATAGATGAATAAGGAAAATTCTGAATTTGATGCAACAAATCCCAATAAAAGTAGGTGATTACTTAATTTGGAGAACTATGCTCTGGGTTCCTATTTTAGCCCATAAAGAGCCTTCTACAACTTACAAACATAAGTGGGAAACTAAGGATCAACAAAGCTGGATGGTTGTTTCATATAGACTTCACCATTGAGATCACTATCAAGAAAAGAATCGGAGACATTCCATTGTTTGATTGACCAGCCTTTTGAGAGAACAACACTCAACACAATTCTAATAGTAGTTGGTTCAACTAGGCTGGAAGTATCACCAACATCAATACCTTGTTATTGATCAAAGTCGTACACAATTAATTGGGCTTTGAAACATTGAATGGAACCGTCAACATTTTGCTTGATGCAACAAACCCATTTTGAGCTAATAATATTCATGTGAGGCTTAGGTGGTATAAACACCCATGTACCATTCTTAATTCAAGCATAAAATTCCTTACACATGGCTTACCTCCATTCAACACTCTTAAGCCAACTTATGTGGAGGGATGTGGGAGCCTTCACTTTGCAAAACTCTCTATGTCTTTTTTAGATCGTAAGCTTGCCCACTTACAAGGACCAGTTCAAGGTCCCCTAGTTGGCAATTCTCACCTTCTCCATATCCTATTTTCTTGAAGAACTTTTCAACGTTAGGGTCAAACCACCATTCTATCTGTTGCTCTGCTTTACTAGTTAATGAGGCTTTGTCAAAGCCTTTTAGTGGTGGTTTAAAGACTGAAGGCTTAGATGTTGAGGAGACTAGAAACACGAGCTCCTTCTCGAGAATTTAAATTTCACCCTTTGATATTGGTGCACTACTTTATGTAGCCACTACCTTAAAAGGAAGTTGTCATTCCCTTTATCTTGACTTTGATGTATAACGAAGCACATGGATTAGTTTATCATCAGGAGAAGATGTCAAAGATGGGGCTAATTACACTATAATAGATGAAGGCTAGTTTTGTAGGAGTTTCTTGTTGTCCTTGTTTGAAGTTGAATTTTCTCCTTTATGCACTGTGTCATTTTTTTCCTTTTAAACCTTCATTGTATCCTTTGGCACCAAAATTGGAAGAGCTTTTAGTATGACCTCTTTATCAGTGTAGAACTTAGCATCAACAAAATGTGTTTGCTTTGCTAGAAGGTTCTCATTCGATGATCACCTTCCTTTGTGTTCCATTACAATAGTACTTAAAGCATTGGTGCCATATCAAAGGAACCACATCAGTCTCATGTAGCCAAGGGTGTCGCAATAGTGGTTGGTAGGATATCTTGGCATCAATAACATGGAAAAAAGTTGAGAATATCAAGTCCCCGATTTCTATCTTAAGGTGCACCATGCCCATAGTACATTGTCCCTTTTGATTGAACCTTTGGATTGTAAGCTTGCTCCTCAGTAACTCATTTTTATCAATTCTAAGTTGTTTCATTTGACTTTCTTCTTTGTTCCTTTGTTGTGGGGGAGTTAAGAAAGTTTACCTCTCCTTTCTTGTACTTACAGTTTCACAAATCTTATTATTTAATAAAGCATTTTGTTACTGATAAAAAAATTCTAAGTTGTTTCATTATAGAGATAGGTATGATGTTAATTACAGATCCACAATCAATGAGGATGTGTGGCACTTTCTACTCATAAACATAACTAGCAACATACAAAGGTCTATTGTGTGGTTGAGACTCAAATTGTATATCCCCGTTTATAAAGGTAATTGTTGCCAAACAATCCACATAGACGCCCTTTTCTAGTTCCTTCCTTGTATACTTGTTGGGGAAAATTAGGTTTTTCACCATTGTAAGATAAGCCTTCTATGGTAGTTGAAGTGCTTGAATGAGGCTTAAGTGGGATGGAATTTTCTTCAACTGCTCTGTGACTTCCACATCATTTGTAAGGTGATCTTGAAGAAGCCTCATCATGTCCCTATCCTCTTCAGAAGAGGTTTCCTCTACTAATGGTGATTTCTCCTCTTCACCAATAGTCGCCATGTACAATGTCACACTCTCCTATGGAAAAAAAAATCTTTAAGCATGAACTCCTTGATGGTTATTAGAGTTGGACAAGGCTGCTAGATAATTTCCTCCTTGCTAGCTAGTGGTACTTGAAATGTTTTCTTCTTTATCACTTTCTTCTTCTTCTTGGAATCATTTTTTACTCGTCTCTTGATAGTCCGCTTTGGTCTAGTTGGTGATGGGATGGCGAGATGAGGAGTCTTGTGCTCATGATGAGCAACAACAATCTATCATTCCTTGTCTTGAGGAGAAGTTTCAAAGTCATTAGAGTACATGGAGATAGTCTTGTCCCCATTCAATATTACCCCTTCAGGTTGGTGCCATACCTTCTCTTTTGGTTTTTTGCTAGTAAAGATGGACCACCCATCTTAAATCCCATCTTTTGAGATAGATGAATATTCCCAATAGTCTAAGGCCCCGTTTGGCATGTCTTTCCATGTGGTCTTTTGGTTGTTTACAAGTTGGGCAAACTATCCTGTGGTTTTTTTCTATTTGGTTCATAACAGATATAGCCGCCAAAAGTCGATGCGCCGAAAAGATGCGAAAAGCCCATTTTGGGAAGCTCCAAATAGAGTTTTTCGCATCTTTCTCACTTTATTCTCGCGCGGAAAGTCATGGAAAGACACACAATAGCCAAACTACCTCCGGGCTGCTCAGATCTTCATGCAAAAGCTTAATGCGTCTTTTGACTGTCATAACTACTAGAAGATCTTCCCAAAAATACTTGCCAAACAGCCCCTAAGTCGTCTGCCATCAACTCATAGAGAGTAAGGGTGTAAAAATTCCCAAATCTTGGAATATTATGGTAAGCATACGCTGTTGTCACTTCCAGATTAATGCAAAATTGGGAGGGACACTATTGGATAAGACATCGTTAGGGGTTGAGATAAATTGCCCTCAGTCTCCATGTCTTGAGAAAAGCCTTTAGGTTATGTTATGGTCTTGACTTGCCTTTTTACATGTACAGAGTTCCTTGGGTCAGGATGTTCATTGTACCTTGAACAAATGAAGAACCTATAAATGGTTGTAGTGGCACTCAACCAAAAGACCCAAAAGTTACTATGGTGACCCAAAATGGTTGTAGTGACCCCTTCTTCCTTTGTTATGCAAGATGAAATATCTTATCTTCTAAGACAAAACACTTTTTGGTTATATGACTACTTATCCAATCATACGTCCTTGCTCTTTAATTCACTTGGACGGTGGAATTTCAATCAACTTTGCTTGAATTAACTAATTGAGCATCTCTAGAACATCAAAGTCGGGGAATGAATACTCCTCTTCTAGTTCTTTTAGAGTTGGCCTAGATCTCTCTTGAACCTGGTTTGTAGAAGATTTTACTTTAATCAACGTCTTCTTTTTCTCGCTAGAGATTTTGACCGGTGTTGTAGTGATAGTCATGACTTCCTTTTCCTTGGAAGATGAAGAGGTCTTAGTGTCCTTGGGTTCCTTCTTAGTTTCCTTCTCCTCATGAGAATCACTTAGTTAAGGATTCCTATGCTTGGTTATTTGATTTCCAATTCATGAGCTTAAGTAGCCTGTTCTTCGAATGGGGTAGGCAATTCCCATTAAGGCTATAAAGTAACCCCAATGCATCCCTTGGACACACATTTCTGTGCCAAAAGCTTAACTTATGTGTTCCTTACATTGAAAGGTGAGGTTTTTCAATGCTCCAATGTAGTTGATGATGGGTTTGTTCTTCCTTTGCCTTGTAGTAGAAAGTTTTGAAAGTTTAATAGTTTGTTGTCAGCAATAAAAGTAGGTGAGGAACTCTCACTCAAGTTGGTCATAACTATCAATGGAACCAGGCTAGAGGTCAATGTACTAATTGAACCAGGCTAGTGGTCTTTTTCAATTGCCCTTTCCATCAAATTGCTAGAACTTGGGAGATTGGTAGCTAATTGGCATGCATATCCCATCAATGTGACAAGTGTATGATTTAGCATACACTAGAGAGGTCTATGGAACTCCATACTAAGCCCTTATGGTGTCAACAATCATGTACTAGAGTTGTTTGCTTCCATTGCTCTTAGAGGTTGAGAGTTATTGGAGGAATGAATCTGGGAGGGTGAGAATGTCCTTGGATGAATTTTGTCTGATGACTTTGTATATCCAATTTGTTCATTAGAAAGGCAATCTAAACATCTTTCTTAGCATTGGAGTGCTTGAAGTTGCTAATGATTTTAGCCATATTTTAGAGTTGCTCTTCCATCGTCGTGGCTTTTGCCATCATCACCAGTACAAACACAACTAGAGACTGAATAGGAGTGGTTGTATGATAGGGATGAGTGAGATTCCATTCTTGACACATTATTGGAATAATCATCTAGGACCAAGTCCTCATTTTCCTCCAATTCAGAGTGTGAAAGGTTGAAAGAGCCTTGCTTCTGTAGAATAACCACTTTAATGCTTTTCCTAGTTGGAAAATCTACTAGAGAAGATAGTTAAACCCTTTTACATTTTGCCCTTGCGTGTATGATGGGTTGATTGTATGTTGAACTAAACGTTCCAGGGAATTTGTAGAAGGAAGTTAAAGTCTTCTTGGTAGCCAGTGGAGAACTATTATAATTGTCAACTCGAAAGATGAAAGGAAGAGAACATTCCACTAGGTGTGCCAAAAATTTGTCGATAGAAATTTTGTGTATTTAATTAATACACAATATGGAAACAAATTACAAAATGAATTTGTAATAAAGAAAATACAATGGGAGTGAACTCTCTTTGAGTCTGCTCAATGATGTGAACAACTTATATTTAATGGTCAAATTTGGTGAAGACAAGGGCCATTTGCATGTTTTTTGTGCTTCATTAAGTGTTGATATTGATTTCCTTGATTTTAGTGCTTTTGAAGAGTTGATGTAGATTTCTTTACTTCGGAATTCACGTTTTATCGACTGTGAAAAATGCTTCCTTAGGAAAGTCTTTTTTGATGATTTGATCTCTCTTAAAAGCTTAAATCCAAGTATGAAGTAGAGAACTAAGAAGTTGCTTTTCTTCTTCTCTTTTGAACTTGGAAGTAGAGTTGGAATTAGTATGATTGCTTGCAATTCTCAAAGTGTTGGTGTGAGTGAATGAGAACTTTTCAAATGTGTTTAATTGCAAAAGTGAGACTCTTTCTCCCTAAATAAAATTATTTATAGTCTAGGATTAGGGTTGTCACCTCAGTCCACTTTGTTAGCTAATCCCATATAAGTAGAGTCTTGGGTTAGAATTAACTCCTAAACATACTCTATTATGTGGAGTTAGTAATTTTGTCAAAGGGATCATCCTATTATTGTAATAGGACTTGATACACTTGGATCCTTGGGCCATGGTCATGTTTATGTAAACTTATGGACCCTAGGCCCATAGAGACCCATATTAACTTAGAAGGCTACTATGTAAATTAAGTCCATAACTTGGGCCAAACAATTTACATATCTACATGAATAATATAGAAAAGTCATAGTAGCGGCCTCCTTACATGGACATCAAAGGTTGCCCTTATAAGATCAAGCCACCACAAGTCCATAACCTTTGTATAGAGGAAAAATATTTCAGGATTTCATCAATTAAACCTAGACCCTCCAACATCCTCTTGCATATCTAATAGTCAATAATCTCCCACTCTTGGCACATTATGTTATCCATTATAATTTAAAGGGTAGTTGCTAAATCATCCTCTGAATTTTCTAATTGTTGCTAAAAACCTCCCTTCAAGTTGGTTAATTGCAATCACCTCCCCCAAACTTTTTGATACAATTGCAAGTAAACCCCCTCTATTAGAATACTCTAACAAGAGGCACGAAAATGTCCAAAATGTTTATTTCCCAAATTTTCTCTTCATATCAGTCCTTATCCCAAACCCTTCCAATCTCTTTTCCAAACTTGATATATTTTCCAAGTTTGCTCTTCATATCAATTGTTCAAATGTAAAGATGTAACTTTAAGGCTATGTTTGGTTTGAAGGAAAAAATAGGGAAAAGAAGGAAAAGGCAGGGAAGACTATACAAGGTTTGTTTAGGTTTCCTTACCTTTCCCTATTTTTTTCCTTCAAACCAAACACAACCTAAAATCTCTTTTCTTATTGTTTTTTTTTTTTTTTTTTCCGTAGAAACCAACATTTTCATGCCTCTGGTTAGAGGATTCTAACAAAGCAGGTCTACTTGCAACCGTAATAAAGTTGAGGAGACGTGATTGCAATTATCAAACTTCAGAGGAGGTTTTAGCAGTGGTGAGAAACTTACCGCCAGACCCAGGAATCGAAGGTCAAATTGGTCAAAACCCAGCGGTTTTCAATGGTTCCACTGGATTTTGACTCTCCAGGTTTTCACAAAATATATTAATTATATTATTTTAAGTCATGATCAGACCGTTTAACCCTCAACCAGGCAGCCTTTTCCCATTTTGTGTCCGGTCAGAATCTTACAACGTTGATTACAGAAAAACAGACATCATATTATATACAAGGATCAAATGTTTCTGAGGACCCCACATTTTCCTCTAATATGTTTTCAGTGTCATTTTTCTGTACAGATGCGCAGCGCATAAAAATGCTTAAGAGACCTCCAAATTTTTTGAGCTATTCAAAATTTCACATTCCGCTATTCCCACAAATCCTGCACATTGGCTGTTCATTTTGTCATACGCCAGGAGAAAAAAAAATGTCATGTAAAAGTATCCCTCAAAAATCTGTGTTGGAATCTGATGCAGATGAGCAGATCCATAATCCATTTAGGAGAGTCTATGCAACACTGGCGAAAATAGCAATAATACTAATCACAGTAACAATTATTACAACAATACTGACTATAGTAGTAGTGAAAACTAATCTGATTAACAACTGAAACAAAAAGCAGACCAATTCACGACTGAAAAATAATGCATTAGATACCATAGGCTATCTAAATGAGAAACAGAAAGTTAAGGGAAAAAGTTCTTAACACAATTCATAAATATCCTTGAATCATAGAAGATACTTATCTTGGCATTACAATTCTCTCATAAAAAAGCAAGCTTGCCTCAGCAGCAAGAACATCTTTTTCTGAAACACTCAACACCTCTGAATCAGAGATACAAAACCAGTTCACAAATGCGGGCTTAGAACTTCCATCACAATTCTCACTATCTAAGTCAGCACTCACTCTTCTATAGACTGTATAATGCCCACTTCCAGCTCTGCCAAAGTGCTCCACAACAGAAACAAGACGGTATATGTAATCCTTTGAAGGTGCCAAGCGACAATTGTTATTAACCTGAATTTATAAAAGAATTTGTGAGATCCAACTGTACACAGGTTAAGTTAAATGGAAAAACCATCTATTATAAGACTGAGAAGGTGAGAAGAACGAAAAGAATCAACAATTGCATAAAAAACTCAACAAAAACTTAAATCAACATCAAATGAACCCATCTAGAGGGAAAACAAACAAACAAACAAACAAATTCCTGCCTTCTGTTCAAAGCCTATTCTCCTTTACTTTTATTAGATAGCCGAAGAAGAGGGGTAGAATCTTATGGAGATGTACAAGGGCGGCTGTTTGTTGGATACCATGGGAAGAAAGAAATCAAAGAATGTTTTCCAACTTGAAGCCATATTTATCAGAGTGGTTCATTGGGTGAAGACCTTGAAGTTGTTCAAGGGCATTCTGGCTGGTGAGTTGATGAGGAAGCAGAAGGAAGTTGCTGATTCTGCTCCTTTCAAGGTGATCTGCAGGCAACATTGATCCCCACCTACAAGAGGCTTTATAAAGCTAAATTTTGATGGTAGTAATGAAGGTAATCCAGGTCCCTCAGGTATTGGAGGAGTATTCAGAAATGAAGAAGGAAAAATTGTTACTCCATTCTCTGGTCCAATAGGGGTGGGTGATTCCTTGAGAGCTGAAATATCGGCTGTATGGAAGGAATTCAAAAGGCAAAGGAATTGAATATTTGCAAGCTTTCTATTGAAGGAGATTCTAAATTGGTGATTAGTTGGTTGAAAAAGGGGATGTGGGATGGTGGGGATATATACATGAGAAGAGAAAAATCAGGTGACTACTACCAGGAATGGAGATTACAATGGGTGAAAAGAGATGCTAATACCTTTGCTGATTCTTTAGCAAAACAAGGGGTGGGAAGAAATCGTCTATTTTGGGCTTGTTTGTAATTTGCGTTTTTTAGGAGAGTTAAGAGAGTTTCTCCCTTTCTCTAATGTGCACTTTATTCTCTTTAAATTAATGAATATGATTCTATTATTGATCCAAAAAAAAAAAAATCCATACATCAAACTATCCAGATATCAGCAAGAATAGCACCAACCTTATTAATAGACTCAAAATGCATGCTTCCAAGCTCAGGATTTGGGCATAATTCATGGTGAGCTGGACCAGGTTCTTCAGAAGCTTGAGAGAAGGAATTAAACGATGGTTTATAAGTAGAGTATCTCACTTCATCTCCAACCAATGCTTCTGAAGAAATGCCATCCCCTGCCAGTCCACGCATTTTCTGCAATACTTGTCGATCAAATTGCGTGTAGAAGTGATTGAGATGAGGCATTAGCATTTGATGCTTCACTTGCATTCTTTCCATGGCTTTCTCCATGTTTTCTAGTCCCACTCCCACTGCATCCTTTGTGAATGGGAAAAGGTCCAAGATCATTGGAAAAGATATATGGCCCTACAATCATCAATGCTTGCTCTTTTTAGTGACATAACATACATATGACATATCTAGCAACAATTTTAGTATACTTAAATCACATATCTCCATCAGAATATACACAGAAACACATACTGGTGAAATGAATATACACAGATGGCATATATTTAGAAATAACATATGCCTAAACATCAAAATCTTGTAAATACAGATTTTTCTAACTCCATACGGATTCGTTTTTTAATGGAAACCAATGGTTTGTTATGTTAAAACTTAAAACTCAATGTTGAGAGGATAACTAGTAGCACAGTTGGTCATACCTTAAGCTTTACCAGTTCTCCAAATTCATTTATTGAAGCACGCTGTAGATGAATGCACAGAATCTGCAAGAAGATGCTCATATTTATGGCCATTTGTGGATTATAAACCATTTCTTCACAGGCACACTAATTCACTCATAAGGCAAAGAGAGTAATTAAGACACTTATAAATTAGGGGAGTGTTTGCCAATATGAATGATTTTGGAAAACACCCCCCCTAAGTGATTAAAAGTATTGTATTTTAATTGAATAAAAGATAATTAATGTAATTATTGTTAGCTTTTTTATTGCTGCTAACTTTAGTTTTATTGCTGCTAGCTTTACTCTTTCTTTATAGTTTAATGCCACAGGGGTATAGTTGTATTTTCCCTTTTACTTTTTATTGTTTGTGTTGTCCCATTATAAATAATAAGAAGGCGCCACCAGGATGATTCTCTTTTGGCACTCGAACCTCTCTCTCTTTCTCTCTCTGTCTCTCTCTCTCTCTCTCTATTCTCTTCAGTTTCTGGGTTGAGAACATGGTATCAGAGCATATTCGTGGAAGATAGTAGCATACAGATCGCAGTTTCTCTCATTTTCCTTGTCCAGGTTTTCTTTTTTTGAATTGTAAGAAGAAATCCTGTTCGGACTGGTCAGATCGGTACCTTTTTTCTTTTTTATTTTTTTTCTCCCTTGATCATAATATCAAGGAGAATATTTGTGCAATCCCTTCTTGAGTAAATAGGGGAGGTCCTCTATTGCATGTGGTGTGTATGTTGAGGGTGCTTGGAGACTTTTCTGGGGAAGTTTAGTTGCTGTACGTGATCTGTCAACGCTTTGTCTTGCAGTTTTGGCAGTTTGACTGTTTTTTATTGTGGGGAGAACAGCTACAGCTGTATCCTTGTGGTTTAGGTGTTTGTTGAGATCAAATTCAATCCTCACAAAACCGTCCTCGCATCCTTTCCCAGCTGTACATTGGGAATATCTCCATACTAGTATGTTTTTATTCATGGGGAGGTATTCCCAATACACAGATGGGAAAGGCTGTGAGTACGGTGTGAGAAGGTTTTGTGAGGACTGAATCCGAATTCGTGTTTGTTCTAATGGCGACTGATGGATCAGCCTCTTCCCAAATCCCAAGTTACATCTACCCTGGGAACAAGCAGTGTGGGTGCTGATAGTATGAATTTCCCTATGCTAATCACCCCGTTGAATGGACTGAATTACTTGGAGTGGTCTAAGGGTATCAAACTCTATGTTACAGCTAGGGAGAAAGTTGGATGCATTAATGGGAAGGTGAAGGAGCCTAAGAATGGTTCTGTGGAACATGACAGGTGGGATCAGGAGAATAGTATGGTCATGTCTTGGCTACTTGTAGCAATGGAACCTGAGGGGCAGAAAATTTTTATGTGGGCTGACACTGCTAGTGAGATAAGGGAACAGGATAAATCTATTTGCTCTGAACAAAGGCATTATGCCAAGATCTATCGGTTCTGGCTGAATCCTCCACTTGTAAACAAGGAGATCACAGTTTGTCAGCTTATATTCAGCCCTCACATCTGTTTGGAAGGAGTTGTATCATTACCAGGCAGTTGATTGGAAACATGATGATGATACAGGCTTATAAGAAGTTGGTCTCTCAGCAACAGGTCTTTGCCTTTTTTTTTTGAAAAGTTAAAGTATTGTATTGATTATCAACAGCATAAGGTTCTGTACAAAAACTGAATTAAAGCCCCCCAAAGAAGTTCACCCTCAAAAAAGAACCAGAACAGAAAGCATCTTTAAAAACATCAGATATAGACAACTGGCTCCTCAGCTCTTCCACTATGAAAGTAAATTACTTTCTGCTCAAAGATCCTATTTTTCCTTCCTAACCAGATCGTCCACATGACTGCAGAGGGAATAACAGACCACACTTGCTTCCCTTTGGACATGCCTTGGACTCTCCACCCATGTAACAAGGATGAAATTGAATAAATTTGGTAGAGGAAGCATGGTGGATGGCCTTTACATCCTTGAGAACAAAGTTGGTTTTGTGGCATCAACATCAGACTCAAGTAGTTAGTTGAGTTCGTCAAATAAGAGTCAAGATTTTTTGTGGCGTAATCGTCTGGGTAATGTGTCCTTTGAGTTTAGAACAGTAGGAAGATGGAGGTCTCAGTCGGATGTAGAAGCCAAGCGTTTCAGATTCTTAGCAGGAATGGTCTGGAGGGAAGACAGTCCTAAAAATCAGGGAAGGGAGTAGGGTGACAGTACTCTTTCCGGAGGAGGTAACTTTATGGGTGAAAGGATTTGTCGATGGGATTTCACACTCTGTTAGGGAGGAAGGCTGGAAGAACTCTATTGCCTACTCTGGGAAGAACTTTACAGTGGAGCTGAGAAGAAACGGGAAAGGTTGGTATATCACTATCACAGAACTCTTTGGTAACAACAGAAGGCAAATGGTGTGCATGCCGGAAGGGAAGAAGGGAAATGGATGGCTGGCCTTTGCCGACAAGCAACAAAGGCAAAGGGAGTACTAAGCAACAAAGAAGGGGGGATAAGCAACAAAGGCAAAGAAAAACAGAGCCAAGAGACCCAGAAGGACTTTAGTGAGAATGAAGCAGTAGGGAGTACTAAGAAACAAGGCTTGCCTCGGCCTGGGAAGGTGTATGCTAGTTCGACAGAGCTTTACAGGCTGGTGGTTGATGCTGGGCATGGAGACTGGAGTAAAAGAATGAATCTGACGGCTGCGAAGGAGGTAAAGGATTGGACTACAATCCTGGACGCAGTTGCTCAGAAGATGGGTGTCGATGTGGATGCAACCTCACTCCCATTTGCAGAGAAGAAAGTTGTTCTGGATGTTGGAGAGATGGAGTTAAGCTTTAACACAGTCTCTGTGGATGGTGGTTTGGTCCAGATTCAGAACTGGACTCCACTCTGCAACAAGATTGAGCTCGGTGAAGTGTCTTAATTAAACTCTTAGGGCTCCCTTTCAATCTCTGGTGTGAAACAACTATTGGAAGCACCGCACAAATGCTGGGGGAGTTCTGTTGGAGGTTAATCCACAAAGCTTGCGTGCCCTTGAGATTTGTATTTCCAGAGTCAAACCAGATTATTTGCCTTGCTTTTTGTTCAGGTTTGGGCAGAAGGGATATGGTATCGGGTGTGGCTGGCTTCAGGAGCCGAAGCGTCGCTATGGGGAGGAGGTTTGGAGGTAGAAGACGAAGCTGACGGGGCAGGGAGAAGGACACATGGAGATGAAGGAATGGGGGAAAATACTGACATGCAAAGAGAAATAAAGAAGGAAGCTGAATTTTCGGCAGGGGAAGACCAAGCGACAAGAAATCTAATTAAGGAAATTAATTTAAAATGGTTTGAATTAAAAAGTAAAGAAGGGGGTGGGCTTTCTTACGCTGACGTGGCCAAGAAAGGTTGTGGCTTGGGTGCGTTAGGCCGAGCTGTGGTGTCCAAATCGGTCGGGGTCAGGGGCAGCTCAGCAGTGGGCCAGGATAGGAAGAAACCCGACCCACGTGATAACTTAAGTGATCACGTGGAACGGGGTAAAGCTAAGGAGATTATAGGTCTGACCCACGTGATGTTAGGAGCTTGTGGGATGGACCATGGTGTGTGGGAGGGGACTTCAATGTAGTTAGATTTACAGAGGAGACTAACAATCCCAATCAAAGTGTTACTAGTAGTATGAGGAATTTCAACCTATTTGTGGATGCCTTTGAACTTAAGGAGATTCCTTTATCCCATAAGACTTTCACCTGGTCTAATCTTCAGTCGAATCCACTTTGCTCCAAATTGGATCAGTTTCTTTTCTCCACAGACTGGGAAATACATTGGGGCAATTTATCCTCTAGAACACTCCCAAGGCTTACTTCTGATCATTAGCCCATTGTGATCTACAAGGAGGAAAGGGGGAGATATGGGCCTACCCCATTCAGATTTGAAAATGTGGCTACATCACCCGAGATTCACAAAGAGAATTAGAGAATGGTGGGAACAGTGTCACCCTTCAGCATAGTTTTCAAGGCGCCAAGGCAAGGCTAGGCAACAGGGGGGCACCTTGTCGCCTAGTCACCTAGGCCCTAGGCGGGTGCCTAGGCAATGGACTTTTTTAAGTGATACATATCCTAGGTAGTCCCCTAGGTTCCATAACCATATTTCCTTAATAACTATCCATAATTTTCATAAGAAAATTATAAACTTCATGTTTATGCCTAGAAAATCAACATATTTATGAGAAGAAAAAGAAGAAAGAAAAAAAAAATCAAAAAATATGGGGACTGAACTCCTATTTTTGTTATAGAAAAAGAAGAAAAGAAAAGGTGGAAGAAGAAGAAGAAGAAGAAGAAGAAGAAGAAGAAGAAGAAGAAGAAGAAAAAGGAGAAGATGTGGAGGAAGAAATGTGTTGATTAGACAAAACTTTAAGTTTTTCCCTTATTGATTCAAATTCTGAAGTCTTTGAGGGTTCAATACAACAGTTGGCAATGTTTGTGTTGATTAAACCCTAAGAAATAAGAAAATAATAAAAAGAAATTAGTTTATAAAGCACAAAAAATGAATATTTTTGTTTAATAATGTCTATTTTATAATTATAATCTCAAAAAAGTAACAATATAAAAGTATTTTATAATAGTATACAAAACTGGTAGGTGATTGGGCAAGGCGAACCTCCAAGGGTGCCTTGCCGGCTAGGCGCCCGCTTAGGCGTCGCCTTGACAACTATGCCCTTCAGCGGAATGGGAAGGTATGAGGTTTCACAAAAAGCTCCAGCTCTTGAAAGCAAAGATAAAAGAATGGAATCTACTGGAGTTTGGCAGAATTGAGGAAAGAAAGAGTACATTGATGGATCAGATAGAGGCCCTAGATTTGAAAGAAGAAAGAGGAGATTTTGGAGAAGAAGACAAGGAACAACGAGGGAGACTAAGGAGGAAGCTAGAGGATTGTGTGCTTAAGGAGAAGATTAGTTGGAGACAAAAATCTCGTTGTAAATGGTTGGAGGGAGACAGAAATACAAGTTTTTTTCATGTGGTAGCAAATGGGAGGAGGAAGAATTCTATTTCTAGGTTGGAAGTTGAGGGCTCAATCCTCAC